ATATATTATATATAATTATTATATTATATTTATTATATAAATATATCAATCGATTTAAACGATATATCATCCAATGAGTAGTTAAATTACAATGACTACAAAATTATAAGAAATATTTGTGAAGGGTAAGAGTGTGCATAGGAAAACGGAGAGAGAGAGAGAGAGAGAGAGAGAATAGAATAGAATAGAATAGAATAGAATAGAAAGAAAAAAAGGTTGGATATAATGTGCAATAAAGATCGTGTGAAAAGTTGAAGATAGAACAAGCGATGATAATACGAATAAATGAGACAAAAAAGAAAGAGAGAAAATAGTAAGATAGAAAGAGAAAGAGATAGAGAGAAAAATAGATAAAGGAGATAAGCAAAGGTTGAAAAAAATAACCGGCAGTGATGTTAGTGTGAATGATTCGTAATGTTTCAAAGATGTGGTGGTGGTAAAAGTTGTGGTAGGTGGTATTGGTGGTGATGGTGGTGATGGTGGTGATAGTGGTGATAGTGGTGATGATAGTGGTTGATAGTGATCGGGTGATTCGTACTGTAATGGAAGTCTAGAAAGACATGAAAGAAGAAGAAGAAGAAGAAGAAGAAAAAATCTAAAGAAAAGGCCGCTTGCGAATTACCTTGAAGGACTGCGTAGAGAAACCAGAAACCAGGGGGTCGATCCATAACATAAGAAGCAAAACAGAAACAGAAAAAAGGTATACTTGTAATTAGGTCGCTTGCTGTAAATAAAAAAATAAAAAATATGTATATCTGTGACGGAGAGAAAGAGAAGTTGAAAATATCAACAAAAACTTCTCCCGGTGTGGTGATTTGTTTTTAATGAATTTTTGGACAAAATTTTGAGTATATGCGAGAGGAGGAGGAAGATAAGAAGATTAATGGATAGAAGATAATTATTTACAATCGTTGTTGTTGTTGTTTCACCTCTCAACGTTAACGAGATTATTTTCTAAATGTTGGAATAGTTTTGATCCTGGTTATGATGAATCCAACAAAAAAAGTTGTCAAAAAGTATTCTCGAAGACAAAAAAAGGGGGGTGGGGAGGAAAATATTATACGTTGACAGGTGAATAATCTTGGATTGAAATAAATCTCCATTATTCGCATTTATATCTCGACTTTTTTTCTTTAATTATTAGCGTGTAATCAATGGATATTAAACGTGTGTCTCGTAATTACTATTTTAAAAGTAATCATTTCGATAGAAATTTTTGTAATTGAGAAAACAAAAATAGAAAGAAAAACAAAAAAAATGAAAAGATACCAATGCGAATTAAAGATTTTTCTATGTATTTTGTTCGATCGATGAATCCATTTTATGCTACCAAGTGCTGCATTAAATAGTTGCTATAACAAAAAAAATAGTGAAATTTATTCTACATGTACAGTAGATACTTGGAGACAATCAAAACCCATAGAAATCTATATATAAGAGATACTTGGTTTCTATTATACAATATATATTATCTATCATCTTTCGTCGTTTTGATTATCTCACATTGACGTAATTACCAGTTGTATGTATGTATGCATTTGAATTATGTTATATTCATCTTCTATGATTATACTACTACTTATAAATATCGTTTACCAAGCTTAAGAACGTTAAAAAATAAAAGGTTTATAAAATTGTGTTTAAACTTCGTTGATATATTCGATGGGAAAATATAGGAAAGCATGGATAGAAGAAACAAAATGCTGGCAATTTCGTCAATTAAATATGATGTCGGTTTTTTTATCATAAGTGTCGTATAAATATTTTCATTTAAAGTATAGATATTATTTCGACACCTATAATTCTAAGAACGAGTATAGAAAAATATATTATAAATTGATTAAAAGGATTGATGTAAAGCTTTGGTGTTCTTTTAAAAACAAAAAAAAAAAATTAAACTATAGAGTACCAATCGATAACAAACGATTAATTTTTGATCGATAAAAATATATACTCGAGAGGAATAAAATATTATTTCTCAATAAAATGTTAAAAAACCAAAAAAAAAAACAAAAATACAACATCAAAAATATCAAGGAAGAAAAATCTCGTTCAATTTTGTTTATCGATAATTCAAAGCCGTGGTGGTGTGTGCGACTCGTTTTCATTTCCACGATGAAAAGTATGATTTTGCGGTGCAATGATCCGTTCAATCGTCATGGATATATAAACGAAACGACGATTCAGGTAGATCCAATCCTTTCATTTTAAAGGGCAGTCCAATAACAAAATTGGTCGATTTAACGTTTTCACCAATACGTATTTATTACAACCGATATCTATTTCGATTGGCATGCACACGTCAAATGAATACGAATATATATAATATAAATAAAATATATGTATATAAAAAAAAAAAAAAACTGGTGTGTGTACTTATGTAAGCACGTAAAAAGTTATTACTTCTTTAGCGTACCAAAACGAACATAACCTCAAAAATAACTTCAATTTGCGCGCGCATCGTAATAAATATCGAACAACTTCGTGGTGTAGATTTTTCGGTCGCATTTAACTTCACTTTCCAAAAATACGCCAAAAGAGAAATATAACTTCAAAAAAAAAAAGAAAAAGAAAGAAGAAAGAAAAAAACGTTTACGTATCAAAAGATGATATTATAATGATCGAACACGTGAATTAGATTAATTGTTTTAATTAATTCGGTTATATCCTTGATGACACCTAATCGACGAGAAATTATGATTTATGACAATAATAGAGTGCAAGTATTTAAGCAAATAAGCGTATACGCGTATACTATCTGATAACAGGACGGAATACGTCATCGAATTTCAATCGATTAGATCTACCTGATAGGATAGCTCGAAATACTCGGAATACGGGGATAGAGTCCAGTTTCGACGATGAAAATACCAGATCATGTGGAAATCTATCGTAGAAAATGATAGAACAACGTCGAATCGGAATCAAACCGAACGAACGAACTAACCTTCATCCCTTCATGTAATTTCATTTTCAACCATGGGAAACCAATTGGATAATAGTATGCTATTGATTTAGAAACTGACTCATTTCTGACCACACATCCTTTAATCAATGCGTACATTTTCATCGAATATTCGTCTTGTTTGTTTACTTGAAAGATCTTTTCGTTAGTTTTATTTTATACGAATGAAACATGTTTTTTTTTTTTTTTGTTTTTCGAAGACTGTGCATTATATACTCGAGTTTCAAATAATTTTTTTTTTTTTAAATACATATTTCGTTATAAATTAATAGGAATATTATTTAATGTAAAATTGATTTATCATTAGATTTTCGAAAATATTCAATAATATCATTATTATAAATTTGTATGTGTGTCTCGTAGAACATTATCGGTAGAGTTTATATTTAACGACAAATCATTATAGTAAACACGTATGAATGGATGCACGCTGAGTGTGTGTTACCAGAGAATATTTATCGTACTTGTGTTGTCATATAACGATGACAGAATGGTGCGTACGACAGGCGTCATCGGTCGTGTCAACGATCGACCAACAAACCTCGAATACCTACAACCAACGACAACGTTGACGTTTTCATAAATTTCCTCTTATTGAATCAATATATATATGTATATATGTATATTTATAGCATGCCAGTTTTATTGTTTTAAAATTCACTCGTGCTCGGGATTCGCTGAATAAACGTTTCAATCTACACATTTATTAATAACGAACCTTTACCTTCCTCTACACTTTCCCATACAATTCTGATCGTCATTTACCTATTGGCAATAATGATTCAAATACATTTATTTAAAATAATACAAGAGTAATTTAAAAAATTGCACTATTTTGATTAACAGTTATTTATCATTAGTATGTGTTTGTAATATTGGAACAGTTTTAAAAGTTTATTTTTAATTTTCAACAGTCACACACACCCATTTCCATTATCTTCTCTAATTTCCTATTTCACGAATGCTTCCTATTCACATTTTCCTAAAATCAAATAGAAAGAGATACATTTCGATTTCCAAACTAACTCCGTGTACTTCTTGACTTCTTCAAGTTCTCTCAATGCTTTTCCTTTACTATCACCATTTATGTATTCACCATAAAATACATATTTACACGTTTTAAGATAGAACTATCACGAGTGTTTATTTATTGTATTCGAATACGAACCATAATATTGCATTATTGACGTTACACTCAAAGTAATAGACACCACCATCGAACCTTTTGATGTTTCCTTATCATCATCAAGAAGAAGATAAATAAGAGGAGAAGAAGATGATAGATGCCTTGTTGTTACCTTTTATACGAGTCATTGAATTTACTACGAATAACGAAATAATTTGTCAAGCAAAATTGACGAAAGATAAGTCATTGAATGATCGGTTAAGCACGAAGAACAATCTTTCTGACCCTTTATGATTTTCGTTGGAGCGCAAGGATTTTACTGGACTGGCTGCTGTTCTTCGAACCTTTCAACGAAAATCTCATCGCGGTAGAACGGTCAACATCAAAACGGTTTATCCCTGTCTCCCGTTTCAAAAAGGAACATCTTAAGTACCGACTAGAAGAAGAGGGGAAAGAATCTACTTTTCCGAATTATCCAGACCCTCTTTTTTGTTCTCGTTCTCTTCTGTATAGAAAGAAAAATTCATTCAATTTATTAACGTCACAAACATAAAAGTGTCTATCTAATTAACTATTGTAATATTGATTTAACACACTTTGTCTATGTATAAATAACGTATATTCCCTCTTCTCTATATTTATTTATTTATTTATTTTAAGAGAATTTATTTAAATGAAACAACGCGAACACACCGATAATGATAATGCGCGTTTACTGTCCTATTTAATTGTTTATCAATTAGAAATTGATTAGATATTTCTTCCTTTTTGATCATTTTCTTTTTATTTTATTTCACTTTAATCATTATATCGATTGGTACTCTGGTTATTCTACATAATATACATACAACACACGATTGAATATATCTTTACTTTAATAATTACAATAATTTTAATTGATAAAAATGATCGATAGGGTGGTGGTGGTGGGGTTTACAGAGTATGGACAAATTTGATTTTAAATGTTTCTGGAAATTACCTACTAGGGAATCAAATAGTATAGAAATATCTATGAAGCGTAAGATTTGTTATTACAATATTACATGGTTGATTAAACAAATCTTCAATGTATTTTTCCGATGTTAATAAGAGAAAATTGATAAAAAGAAATTATATATGTAATCGTATTTTCTTCTAGTGCGAAATAACACGAACGATATCTCGTGTATAAATGTTAAAAGTATGTATTTTTATAATATATACAAGTGTATTTTTAACACTAAACCTATCCATTATTATCGAGTTTTACATAGTTTTCATTTTAATTTCTTATCAATTCAATATATAATTCCTATACTATTAATATTTTAACATGTATTATTATTTTCTCAGTATCAATTTTGTTTTATTATCTACAAAATATATTTAATTGCATAATAAATGAATATATTATTATATATAAAATAATCGTTAGGTTTAGCGTAATTATAATCGTGTTTTAACGTGGTGATAAATCTTAATCTTATTTTTAAATCATCGATCTTGGTGATCATCGTCAAAAATGTCCTCGTGTTAATTGGTCGCTCTTTTTTTTTTCTAATTGTAAGAAGAAGAAGAAGAAGAATAAGAATAAGAAACATAAATGAAAGAGAGTTCGTAAAAGAGAAGAGCACCAAGTCGATAGGCAGAGTGAGTAAATAAGTAAGTAAGTAAGTAAGTAAGTAAGTAAGTAAGTAGTATAATCTAAAAAAGAAGGTTAGAGAAAGGGGTAAAGGGGTATAGTTGGTTAGGTATAGTTGGTGTTAGGTAAGTGAAGAGAAGATAGAAAGGGTCTAAAGGTTTATATATATATATATATATATAATATAATATAATACGATGGGCATTTCATAATTTGCTAGCAGAGGCGAGAGAAATCTGCAGTGAAAGAGACATAGAGGCAGGTGCAGAAACGGCAGGTGGGAATATGGCTTTGTCTTTTTTTTTTTCTCTTTTTCTGTGCTTCCCCTACACACATCAATCAATAATATATTTATATATAAGTACTTTGTCGTTTCTTTTGTTTTTTTTTTTTCCTATTGTTTTAATCGTTATCACAGCTCGTGTCTCGTTCTCACCTGAAATTAAGTGATTAGTAAATAATTGCGTCCCAAAACGACGGTGAATCTCTTTCAACGGAATAATTTTATAGCATTCGGATAAATATTTGCATCAAATTTAAGAAGAGAAGAAGAAAAAAAACACGAATGAATATACTACTGTCAATATTTTTTTTCAAAACGGAGTCATTTGAAAAGGCAACAAAATGAATTGCCAACAAATTTTTTATATTTAATATTACAATCCAATCTCTATGGTGGTAACACGCAAAAAAACACAAAAAAATCAATTAAATAGTAATAATAATTCGTAATAACTTTTCGATATGATCATTTTTGTTTGTTCGTTAAGACAAGAAAGATTTTCGTCATAGCCTTTAGGAAAAGGATTAATCAATAAAATTGCAATGAAATAATTTTGATAGTGCTTGTATGCGTATCTATACATATATATAAAAATATAATTCGTTAGCAGTGAAATACGGTCGTATTGGGACAAACGCACGAAGGCCACAAATACACAACACAAAATAGGCTCAAAGTATTAGATCAAAGGCGAGAGAGAGAGAGAGAGAGAGAGAAACAAAATGTCACAGACCATGGAATTGATTTTACTTTTATTTAGAAAAGTAAAGACGATAACGGGGGCAGGGGTGGGGGGTTGTTCCGAAAGCTTCAAAAAGCGAGTAACAAAAAAAAAAAAAAAAAAGAAAAGAAAAAGATTGTGTGATGGTGTGTGCACATGTGTATGAGTGTCGTCGCCTTTGATCCAACCAAAAGCCTCGAAGGATCGTGGTGCAGACAGTAGGCAGCAGGTAGTGCCAAGTATCATTTCTGGAGAACAATCGATATATCGCGTGTGGTGTCGAGAGACAGCTGTCAGGTGAACATTCCATTCTTGTCCCGTGTAGAAAGACGTCTGTTGTATTATATAAGTATATACATAGATATATAGGTAAGATATATATACATATATAAGTATTATCTATATATATATATATATATAGGTAAGTTGTTACTATATTACATGTGCGACGTATAGTAAGGTATATATGCGTTGTTGTTTTTGTTGAAAAGGGAAACGTTTGGTAATAGTAATGACATTTTTTTATTCTTCTTTTTTTTTTTGTTTCGTTTTTCTTTTCTTTTTTGTTCGATTAATAATATAATTAAAATAAATAATGTTATAACATCGCATTCGCCGCGACACGAGTCGATGAACATATTATTTAAGATTATTTTGTTGTTTGATCAATGATAGAAAATAACACACATTGAGATCAATTAAAATTATTATATTGATAGGTGTACTCGAACTCGAAAAGTTTTCTTTTTTTTTTCGTCGCGATTTAAGATTATCATTGGATCGTGTGATTAATATATATATATATATATATATATATATATATTTTCTATTTCGATTAGATATTTATTAAAGTAATATTAGATATTTTCGATACGATTGGACGATCTGTTTCTAATAATCAATAATAATATCCTTTACGGATTAAATTCGGATCGTCCAATAGTAGTATATCTGTAAATTAACGCGCGTATTTATAGATAAATGTATATATATATATATATGTAGGATGCAGGTATATTGTATATACCGGTAACGCCGTTGTTTCAGAATACGCGGCACGAAACAGATTAGCGAAGCATTAGTATTCACAGTTTCGACACAGGTACGTCCAACGTGACGTATTTCCTGAAACGTACACATAGAACAGCAAAGGATGACACGACGCGGCGTTATGTTGATGAAGGGTAATACAATAATGCTGTCGACCCAATTTACATACAAAGGAGTTTAACACGGAATTAACTATGCACATAGTTGTCCCGAGATCTCCGTAGTCGTTGAAGATGATGAAGAAGAAGAAGAAGAAGAAGAAGAAAAATGTAAGAAACGATTGTTTAAAAAAAAAGAAAAAAAAGAAAAAATTGAAAAATATATATGTATATATATATATACAATATAATCGTTTGCTTTTCGAGTTCGATTTCATTTTCTAATTAGTTTGTTTTTTTTTTGTTGAAATACTTATTTATACTCTTTGACAAGATAATATAGAGATTAATTTTTCGATAATCATTAATATTGTACACGTTTTGATACCGAGACGTATGTATGTTCAATTATATATGTTGACCTTTCTTCGTTGTCGGCTCGCTATAATGTCGATTTAATAATACCGAATCGATAATGATGCATTAATTGTTCAATTAAATGAAATGAAATTTTAAAATAGATCATGCTACTGACCTCGAGGAAGTCCTTCACAGTACTGTCGATCACCATAAGTGGTCGTTGGATCAAATGGATCACTCCGTTTCGTACGGGGATGTTTGGCTTAACGATTTCGGCTAACACGACACCTGGTTGGTGAGACGCATCACCCACGATCGTATTAGACTTGACATATACTGGAAAGTAACGTGATCGATTAATTCTAGATTAAGTACCTTCAAATCCCAAAAGTATGTGTGTTGAAAACGTATAAACCAAAAAATGAGTCTTATAATATATAAATAATTAATAGAAATCAAATTAATATATAAATGTAAATATATATATTACCCTAGAACTATAAACTTATTTTTGTAACCCTTAAATTACAAACTGTAGTATATATTTACCCCATAGGGTTTTTTTAATCCTAAAAACTATACTGATAGCAATAATCAGACTTTTAAGTATATGCATTTTTTTGTTTTTTTTTTCATGCCAAATAGAATGGTAAAGAACAAATTCAATTTTATTAAAGTTTAATCGGTGAGACAAATCGATTTAAATAAATTAAATTACTGAAAAACGAGATCAAATCTTCATTTAACGTTCAAAAACCTGGGGTAGATATCTACCTTAGTTAGTAGTTCTAGGGGATAAATTTGTTATATATAATATATTAGGTGAGGATGAAAGTTTGTGCCGTTTTTAGATTTTTGATCATATTAATAATTCAGTTTAATTGTATCAATTTAAAAAAATTGTCAAAAGTAATGAAATATAAAACAGGGATATTGTAGATAAAAGAAAATATAGTCATCAATAGGTATGATATAGAAATTTAATAAAAATACGGTCCCATGATATCCGATTACGGGGATTTTCGTGATCCCCATGAATAGACGGATATTCCAAGATCCCATTAACCATTTGTGAACACGCGAGAGAATTCAAATGATTTCTATTGATTTAAAACGGCACGAAATTTCTTCTTAGTCCCAAAAATGTCTTCACATATTTTTATGTCTTTTATTACCTTTGTTATGTTCCCTGAGAAAACTGACGGTAACTTTGAGATTGTCAGAGAAAACAAGTGTCTCGTAATGAATATTCTCAGGTGTAGGTACTGTGAAAAGAATATGATTGGGAATCACGTGTCCATCGATTACGAGATGATCGATCTTCTGTGGCCTAGGCTCCGGCTGCAATAGAGACAACAAAGAAAATAGAACCAAAAAAAAGTACAAACGAATGAAAAAGAATATTCAATTATTTATTCGCGCGAGAATTTACGAGAATAGTTCGATGAATATTCCACGGTGTGTGCGGATCGACGAATGAAATGAATTTATTTGCATGATATTTTTATATATTTATTTAAAAGACCAGAGTGTGAGAGAAAAAGAAAGAAAGAGAGAGGTAAAAATGTAGGATAGGTTAGGTAGAAGAAAAAAAGGATAGAAAAAACAAGAGTACAATTTTTTTCTTTTTTTTTTCTTCTTTGCGAAACCCTTGAAAAACTTTCCCCTTTGGTGTGTTTGTATTCTTTTTTCCAATGAATAAACTGGCTCGTCGTCGCGACTAAAAGCTTCTATTTGCACTGTGTACAATGTAGGGTGTATAATACATACACACATACATATATATATATATACATATACATATATATATATGTGTATCTATAATGCGGTGTAATCGCATAAGCAGACGAAGAACAGAACAGTAGACGGGAAGCAGTCAAAGACGAGCTAGCTTACTTACACATCGTTGCACATCTTTACACGCATAACGAAGTAAATGATCCAAAGAGGAAAGGGTCGTCCTTGTTCTTAGAAAGCTTCGTATTATACCTTATTGCTCGTGTAATGTTCGCGAGAGATAATGGAGACGAACAAAAGTGGAACTTGCGAAGGATGATAATATATCACGCGTGTCATCCTGAAAATTTGACAAGGAAGACGAGGACGAGGACGAGGACAAGGACGACAAATATCACGCGTACGTAAATACCATCTCGTTTGTATTCGTTAACAAATTGAAAATAAATATTCACCTTAAATCCTTCGTCAACGGGAATGAAAAAAGTATAACGCCCATCTGCCGTAAAGATTCCTTCCTTTTTTTCTATGACGATCCTTTGTCGGAAGGTCCTTGAAAATAAATATTCATTGTAAATCAATTAAGATATATAAGATATATATTTTACATATTATGATTATAGATATTTACCTGACACGATGATTACCCATGTTTAAATTCTCACTTTGGTTTAAAAATTGAAAGGCATCGGGATTGTAGATCGGTGATTCCGATGACATCGAACGTACCGGTTCCAATACTTCGTCTATCACGTGCAAAACCTATGGGAAAATATAAAAAAGAGAAAAGAACAAAAAAAAAAGCGATGTTAGTCGGTTGAAAAATGATGGACTCGCATATTAAAAAAAATATCCGATGCAAGAATCACAAACTGGCAACAAGTGTAACCGTGTGTCGCACATACGTATGTATATTTATGTATGTATTTGTAAAAAAAACAAACAGGGAAGGGAAAGGGAAAAAAGAAAAAAAAAGAAAAAACTATAGAAAAGATAGGAGACGATGGCGGAGGATGCATTGCATATTTGGTTGCATCGTTGGTACAAAGGGTGCTACGGGATATTTTGTCTCGTAGGTGTCGAGAGACGAGAAACGAGGACGAATGAGAAGGATGTATAGTAGGGATGCATTTGCCCTATCTTTCCTTCACTATACCTATTCCAACGAGCCATTTACAATACGAAGTTTGGTACTATAACGTTCTCCTCCTACCATTTTCCTATTTATCCGCTTTTCTCTGTGATCGTTGTGACTCTTTTATCTCGCATGGGAGATTGACTATGCTTTGTAGCACCGTTTGTGCCGAGTGAGAGAAGAAAAATGGAAAAATACGATAATCAAAGAGGGATGATAAGAGAGAGAGAGAGAGAGAGAGAGAAGAAGAATCCCCGTTCTCTTTGAACAACGAAGGATTTCGTAACTACGAATATTCTGTAAAAGAGAAGAGAAAGATATGAAAAGAAAAAAAGAAACAACAGTGATTTCTTTAGCTCTAAATTGTCGACTCGTTAAACTATCAACTTTATTTTCTTTGCGATAAATTGTTCTCTGTTATTTATTTTAACGTTGACTCGAATAGATATGTATAATTCTCACTTTAAAGATATAAGAATATATATATATATGTTACCGTCAAAGCCGGAAATCAGTCATTCTTAGTAATTCCTCGGCATTACTATGAATGCAAAGAGCCTTCAGACGAAGTCGAAAATTGAAAAATTCTTCCAGTTTTTCCTAGGTATCGAGCATAATACTTTGATATCCTATAGAATATCAAATTATTTTTTAAACAACATTGAAAAGTATAAATCCTCGAGCAAAGGCCCGACGCAATCACACCCCCCAAAACAACCCATACAGGTAAAGAACATTTCGTTCTAAACCTGTGTGTTTTTCGATACGATAGGGAACAAAATATACAGATTTCCGTGGAAATTTCTATGAATATCTGTCTAACTAATGTCTAGAAAATATAGCCTGAATCTTTGCAAATCAATTTATAACTCGATAAGTTATTTTACAAGTAGGAAAAAGGGTGTACTTTAATTTAATATAAGAGTCATTAAAATCTATTCACTCTTAGTATAAAAAATATTTACAGAAACTTTTCAAAGAAATTAGAAAGATTCACAATTTCCAGCATTGTATTCTAATACTTTTTATGAACCTTTGCAGATTGATTTATAACCCGACATGGTATTCTACGCGTACAGAAAAGAGAGTACTTTAATTTAATATAAAAATCATTAAAAACCATTTGCTAAAAGTATAAAAAATATTTACCGAAACTTTTCAAAGAAATTGCAAAGTTGTACAATTTCCAGCATTGTATTCTAAGACTTTTTATGAACCTTTGCAGATTTATTTATAACTCAAATTTGTATTCTACGTGTAGATAATAGAGTGTACTTTAATTTAATATAAGTTTCATTAAAATCTATTCACTTTTAGTATAAAAAATATTTAACAAAACTTTTCAAAGAAATAGCAAAGTTGTACAATTTACATCATTGCAATCTCTGATATTATATATATGAATTTGATTGTTTATATTATATATATGAATTCTTGATGCGATAATTTTATTCGAAAACGTACACGTGAAAATTTAACTTATCTAAATAACTGCGAAAATTTAAATATCCAAAAAATAATCATATACATTGAATAAACTTAATATGCAATATATGTATTTTATGACAAATAATTCCAAGTGATATGTGTTACTACAGTTAAGAATAAACAATTGAACAATGAATTTAAGCTATTTTTAAAGTAAACGTTTCACATAAGAGAAATAGATATATTATATATTATACATGAAAAATATCTTTCTCTATTCTTTCTCTTTCTTTCTTTCCTACAAAAATTCATCAATCTTTCGTGTTCTCATTATTATTATCTTGCGAATTATAATAAATACATCGAAATGATAAAAATCAATTGACTTTCTTTTTTCTTATGATCAAAATTCGTATTAGATTATTTTGGAAAAAGCGTTTTATTTAAAGACGTGCACAATATACAACATATAAAAAGATAGAGGTTCTTTTTTGCGGTTAAGAGAAAGAGAAAGAGAGAGAGAGAGAGAGAAATATGAGAAACGGAATTGCCTTAAAGGTTACTTCGAGATTCGTTGAAGAGAACGTATGACTTAGATAGGAGAAAAGAAAAGAATCTAGGAGTGACTAGAAGGGAAAAGGGTGGTGATGGTGTTGGTGGTGATGGTGGTGCCAAGGGGTTGTAAGAACGAAGCTAGTTCATACAGGGTCGATGCGTTAGATTTTTCTTTTTCTTTGTTCACTCGACGTTTCCTTTATTTGCTTCCTCAATTTTCTTTCTTTCTGTGTTTACCGCCACGTTTTTTTTCCTCTCTCTCTCTCTCTCTCTCTTTATTTTCTCTATTTATTTTTCCTTCTTAACTTTATCGTTCCTAGTTCCTTCCAAGTACAATATCTGCTACTCAATCGAATTCTTTTCTTATATTTTTAACAAGCTTTGACCTCTTTTATTTTATCGTAACGTTTCTTCTTGTCTGGAAGATGAAGAAAAATGGAAGGAAGAAATATAAGAAAGAAAGAAAGAAAGAAAGAAAGAAAGAAAGAAAGATGAACGGACAGACAGACGTTATAACGTGCCTGCCTTCGAAGTGTCATCAATATCGTTTCTTTCACGTCGAATTAGAAAGAAAGAAAATTTATGTACCCTCCCTCCTCCCACCCTACACACCCCTTTTGTCTTTCTTTTGTATTATTTTATTTTATTTGTTTTTTATCGAATCCGAAAGAAAAAGAAGAAAAAAGATATAAGTGCGTTACAGGAGTAAGCGAAGCAAAGATAAAAATAAATAAAAAGAAAAAAGTTAATTCTTCCGATGCGTTAGAGAAGGAAGAGGGAAAGGGGGAGGAGGAGGAGGGGGAGGAGGAGGAGGAGGAGGAGGAGTATTCTCGTCTTTCGAGAAATAGCAAACTCTTTCTCGCGAATATCATTATCGACTTTTCGTAAAGCGGGAATTAATTCGTGTCTATCTTCGGGCACTGCTTTAAGGGTGGAGGGTGGAGAAGGGGTGTACCGTCCATTCCTTTCCTTTCCTTTTGCCTTTTCTTTTATCTTTCTTTTTCTTTTTCTACCGGATATTCGAAGGAAATTCCAGTCGGAATAATTCCGTTCGAGATGTTGGCCTTAACCAACAGTGCAATGCAGTGCCAGTGTTGCACGGTCCGAAGGGTTGCAGTTAAATGGTGGGGAAAAATGCAGTAAGCAAAGAACGACGACGATCCAATGGTGTAAAAGGGAAGAATAAGGGAAGAAGAAGAAGATGGAAAAAGACGAAAGGGATGAGAGAGAGAGAGATATATATATAGTTAAAAAGGGAGAGAATAGAAAGTAAAAGGAGAGAATCGAGAAGAGAGGAAAGGAGAGGAGAGGAGAAGAGGCTTTTCGCTTCGGGTTTCGTTGAGAAGGGAATTGAAAATCAGCCGCGGGCAAAGGGAACGAGATATTACGCGGAAATAGTTGGGCAAAAGCAGAAGCAGACGCCAACCGATGTAGGGAGTTTAAACGGAGAAAATCGTATCGATCGAGTTTTCTTTTTTTATTTTCGAAAGAACACGTTGATCGAGAGATGGATCACCAAAGAGAGAGAAAAAGAGAAAGAGGGGGGGAAGAGGAAGGGGAAATTTTCGAAGAGCAATCTCTCGTAATTCTAAAGATAAAAGTTGAATAAACCTGTGTGTATGTGTGTGTATGATAGAAAGAGAGAGAGAGAGAGAGATAATATTACGTTTCATTTTACGTTATTCTACCTCTTTTATTACTATCCGTCATTACTATGGTTATTACCATTATCCCTAGAGTTATTTATTACGTTCGGAGATGAACCGATATTGCGTCAAGATTGTTCTCGAACGTGAGAGGGTGGGAGGCCCCTCCCTCCCACGTAAAGAGAGGAGAGAATCAAACGATACTTATTATTATTATTATTATTATTTCCTCTTTAATACACTTTCGACAAATAATTCTATCTACGGATTAATTTAATGAAATTCGATGATAATGTAGTTGTTTTGTTTATGATATTATAACAGGAAGATTTCGTTTCTTCGATAATGTTAATTACATTTTGACTTATAATAAATTTAATGTTGTTAGTGAGGGGGGTAAGAGGATTGAAAAGAAAAAAGAGAAAAAAAAAAATGGTATAAATGGTAAGAAGAAAATTTCTACGTGGGATTTGATAGGAAGAGATAGTTTTAGTTTCTCTCTCTCTCTCTCTCTCTCTCTCTCTCTCTCTCTCTCCTTCTCTCTCTCTCTCTCTCTCTTTGATATTACTAACCCTCAGCTAAAGAGAGGAGGATCAAAGTGAAACGGAGAGAGAAATAGTGATCTAAAGGCGTGCTTCGTCGAAGGGATTAGTTGTAGACCGTCCTGTGGTTCAGTGCGATTTTTATCAGGTGATGGTACTTTAACCAGAGATTAGAGGATTCGTCTGGTACAAGACGAAATGAGATATCCAACCTTTCCCATTTCGCGTAGCTCACTCAGCCAAAGGTACAACATTGGTTTCATTTAACGAAACAACCAAACGAGAAATCTCTACAAGATTTTTGACTCTTACATTAGACATTTGATAAAAAAAAAAAAAGAAAAAAAGAAAATACTTTCTGTTTTTTCGTGTCGGACCAACCCCGTCGAATATTATTGGTAGGGAATATATTTTAGAGAAATTAATTTAAAAGAGAAAAATAATACTTTATGTGTTTTAATTCACATGAAATAATTTCAACGTGTGCGACACAACATACGTATCAAACAAAAAAAATACGACAATAATAACGATACATTTAATATATTTTTCCTTTGTATTCCTTTATGATAATAATAATAATAATAATTTGATAGTATTAAAACACGTATCGTATGAACGATTATTAAAGTGTTAACAAACGTTTTAATTAATTTCAAATGATTTTTCAATGAAAATAATACGAAATATCGTTACGTTGACTTACTTGCGTCTTGATATCCCCATTGACTTTTATTTTCGATTGGAAATTGCTGGGTTGTTTTAAAACTTTAGCGTTGTTAATGAATACCTCTTCTTCACCCGCCGGACCAGGTTTCCTCGTTACCCATAAGGGTGGATTACCATCTAATTCGGATGAAACCGAAAGTCCTAATCGTTCGATCGTCAATGGTAGGTTCGCTATAAACAAAAAGAAACAAAATTATTTTAATTTATTAATAATGAAATAACAAACAAATAAATCTCATGAATTAGAGACGTTAAGTATAAAAAATATATTTAATACATAACTATATATATATATATAAGGTTTTAATGGGGTAACTCGTATGATCTACGATAGGACAAATTTGTCAGGAATTCTTTTTTTTTTTTTTTTACTTCTTTTCCCTTTTTCAAATTTTTTTCTTTTTTTTCTCTGTGTGTGTGTGTCTCGTCGACGTTTTCTTTTCGCTCTTTCAACGAGGTCCCAAATGATTAAGCTCCCGATCGATTCGCATTTATTTTCTCTCGGGTGCAGGGATGCAGCCGCGGGGCACAGCTGCACCAATGGCTGGCCACAAAACGAAAACGTCCGTACAAAGCTGCTTGCGCATCGATTTATATTCCGGTATGGAGAACCAACCTTTTCTCTCTTTTTCTCTTTCTCTCTTTCTCTCATTCTTTCTCTAATCCCATCTTCTTCAATGTTCTCTACGATGAACTATCTATCAGCATATAATCTTTAAAGATTATTTTTAATATTATCGAATTGATAAAAGTAATAATTATAAATATATCTTTGATATACTATTATAAAAATGAATATTTTCTAATATTTTTTAAATCTCGATTTTATTAATTTTTTTTTTTACAATCTAACGTGATTGGGTAAAATTCAATTTACGCGTTATAATTATATTATATTATCTCGCAATTATTATTTTATTCATTATTACGTACATTTATATATTTGTCTTATTTTTTCGTTTATCTCTATCTATACAAATTTTAACAGGTATTAATTAAGAGAAGAATCAAGTTGAGAGGACACAGATTTCTTTTTTTTTTTTTTTTTTAATTCTATACAGTTGTTAGGGGTTAATCGAGCAGTAAAGATTCAATATTCAATCTTTTTCAAAAAAACGAAGGGAAAAGTTTTACGTAAATTATTATATATCAGTCTCGTTTATGTTAGATAGAAAAATATATTTTTTACATTAAAAAACAAAAAAGGGAAATTTTAGAAAAGATATAGGTAGGTTGAAAAGTATTGAGCCTAACAAAGTGTTGAAAACCATGAAGCTCGAAACTTTTCAACCCGCTCATGTATATTAGTTAACTAATTTCCTTTTTTTTTGAATTAAATTATAAAATATTTATTTTTCAATTTGAAAAAAAGAAAAACTGAAAAACTGTTATACAATAATGCATTTATTCTTTTTGAAACTGTTACGTATTGGGTTTTACTACTTGCACAGTGTACGCGGTTCTGATAAATTTTAAAAATTGTGTAGAATTTTACAAAAATTCATACACTGTTAATTTGGATTTCTCCATGTAAATCGTGTATATTGTATATATGTATAATACATTTAATTAATATACTGCTTATGTGCCAAAATATATAAAAATTAAACGGATCTGTCGTAATACTTTTAATAAAATGCGTGTATTAATTAGATACAAGTGTGAATTTAAATCTACTCGATAAGTGCTGCCCCCTACGTGCGCTTAAGGAACTACAATGCGCGCGTTTTCCTGCACTTCGTAAAGTTGAAAGAGTACGTCGTTTGTTGTGTGTTTTATTTTGTTTTCTTTTTTATTGTTTATGTTTTTGTTCATCCAGTGCTAGTGTTTTATATTAAACGTTATTCTACAGTATTTCTTTTTTTTGAAGAAAATGGGCGACATCTCCGTTTCTAAGGTAAAAAATAATATAATCTTGATAACCTGTTGCATGAATCTTGAAACCTAACCTTAAATCCCAAACATAAGATAAAATATTTGTACTGCTTAGTTAAATAATTTAATATAAATAAAAAAAAGAATTGCATTTTATATACCTGAAACAAACTAATATTTCTTTTTGTATGTATATTTGCATATCATATATATTTGATAGGTACTTTCATTTATAGTTCGATAGAAAAATTTGATTATTTTATATTTAGGGTGTTTTCGCTCATAAAGGTAGTTATAAAATTGGTCAAAAAAAATCTACTCGCAGTAACTATGATTATTCTAATGAACTCTGGTATACTGCGTATAAAGAAACATGGGATATCATTCACACGAAGGCAGAGGTATGAAGACTGTTAAAAGTTAGATTATAACGCTATAAGTATAATCTTTTAATATTACAGTCAATATAATATACTTTATATTTTTTTAGTCTATAAGATCTAATATGATCAGTCAATTGATATCCGACTTACAGTCTTTCGTATCAAGCGTAAGATCAAATAGTATTGATATATTTGAAAGAGAAATACCTACAGCTATGCTACTAACCGGTAATAAAATATATTAATATATATTGAGAAGCAATTCTTATAGTTTGTTTTTAATTTATTTCAAATGTAACTTCACATTGTAGGTGTTAACATTCCGGATCATGCTAACATCTTTCAAAAGATAGTTCTTACATTACGGTCTCTAACTTTGTACGTTGCAATAGTATGGAGTAAAGATTCTAACAATAAAAAAAATATAGTTTCAGACACAGTATTTCAATTAATAAATAAACAAGGAGAGGTCAGTTTATTTGTAATATATTAGTTAAGTTAACATTTAAGAAATTAAATGTTAAAGTAAATTAATAAATATAATTTACAGGATGACGCATTGGGAATAAAGAAAACTCAATGCAACATGCGCGCTTTAAAATTATGGTATTTAACGCATTGCAATCCGTCTGATCCTTTGATCATTATTATCTCTGATTTTGAAAGTTTCTCACCTAGCGTACTTCATGATTTTATATTAATACTAAGGTATAGTAGGATTAAGTGAATTTTGTGACAAATATATGGAGATTCTTTTTCCTATTTCATATTTTAAGATTTTCATCATTTTTTAGTACTTATTCGGATACAATAAAATTTGTATTAGTTTTTGGTATTGCAACTACGTTGCATGTTGTACATAGATCTTTGCCGTATGATGCTACTTCTAAGTTAAAAGTGAAGGTAATTACAAGTATTTCATCATTAATGAATAGAATTATTGCATAACATTATATTTCCAGGAGTATATATAGGTATAGTTTATTCCTTACAGGTATTACATATGCAAACACAAATTAAAAGTTTAGCTGATATATTGGAAGGAACGATTTTTTCTTCGGATATTTTGTTTAGATTGACCGGAAGAGCGTTTCAATTATTAACAGATATTTTTTTGTTCAACGATTTCTCGGTCGATCGTTTTTTACAACATTATAAGGTACCCGTACTTTTTTTTTTTTTCTTTTTTTTATATAATTAATTTCATCAAAATATTTGATGAAACATTTGTACTTTTTAATTTTCCTACGAATTAACAATGCCTTTAGTTATGTACGATACATCATTTTTATGGAAACAACATAAACTCTTTGTGTTGTCAACGAAAAGATATAAAATCGAGAATATCTACTCTAACAGAGGAGGATATTAAAGATCTGAAGAAGTTACCATCCATTGAGAAATATTTAAAAACTTATCAACAATTAGATCAAAATAAAGAACTTGATGATACAAAATTTCGGAATTTAATAGAAATTTTACTGATACAATTTCACGAATACATGATTCGATTTTTAACGGTATTAAAATGCCTACACTCTTTGGTATCAACCTTACCAAAGGCACTATTAGGAAAGCAGGTACGATGTTAACAACAGAGGAGAAGCTGTGCTTTTTATTTTTTATTAAAAGAAAAATTAATAATATTACAAAAAGAAATATAAGGAAGAAAGCCAGACGAGTCTTTATTAAAACCATTATTTTAGCTACGCGAAGTTTATACAAAAACGGTTTATTCGAGTAATGTTACGGAGTCTCAGGAGTACAAAGAATGCCTTCAGCTATTAAACTTTTTATCGAAAGAAGAGTTGTTAATAAAATTAGAGTCTATCAAGACGATACTCGAAGATACGGAGGTGGAACCTCTCTTGAAGGAATTTCATGAAAACTTGACGACCCGTATGAATGAAATTAAAAATGCCAGTTTGGATATGATTAGTAATGATAATTCGGTAATCATTTCTGTCGATCAAAAGCTTACACGTAATCAATTGAAGGAGGTAAATATATCGTAGAAAAATAAAAAGTAATAAGTTGAATTTTTACAAAGCAACAATAAAAGATTGAAACTTATTTTTTTGTCTTTTTTTTTTATCTTTTGATCGTATAGAAATTATTAAAGATGAGTCAAACTCATAAGCGTTCGCCTTACAAGCAAGCTCAATTCGATTTAATAAACTATTTAGATCGAGAGATTTTCAGCGTTTATCTATTGAATCCAACCGAACTACCCATGAACGAGATATTTTGTTATAACGATGGAAATGCAGTTAAACAACATATCCGTGGTTCTGTAAGAGGAGCCATACACATGGGTTTGAACGATCCGCAAATGTACTTGCAGGTAGGTCCAATAAGTTATTTAACCGTTTGCGGTATTTAGTTTATCGGTTAGCGGTTATTTTTTGCCTGCATATTTAAAAAAAAAATAAGAATTTTGCGTGCGTTCACTCACGCAAGTGAAAGATTCATTGAAAATTCATATTTCAGTGTGACTGTTGCAAATTAGAAAACGAGGATGCTATTTTAACAACGTTGCCCGATTTAAGTATAATTTATAAGCTACATTTGGAATCCAAGAAGCTGATTAATATGTACGACTGGTTACAGGTAACAACGATCTTTTTCATGTTTGTATTGTTTACAGTCTAATCTCTCTTACATTTATGATTACGCATATGGGGTATGTATATGTTATCCGTCTAACGATTTAAATCGTTATCCTATTTCGAGTTGAATTAGTCGAGCTTTCGGGTCCCGTAGGATTTTCCTTGAAATCCCATTTGATATTATTGTACCATATTCTAGGTATGGTGTGGCTTATTTCTCGGTGATTTGAATACAAAATTTTGACACTGTGATTTATAAATAAAGAAACATTTTCTTTGATGGATTGTTACTTAACATTAAACGTATCTATTTCTACCACAAAGGATCAAATGACCCATTTTCAAAGAGTCATATATTTGACGATGTACGTATAGTAAAAAATAATATACCATTTATGTGTGTGTAATAAAAATATTTGACTCGTTATAAATAGCACAATAATTTTTTAGAAATTTCTCCCCAAAAAAATTGACAATCGTTCATTCGATCACGGTCATGATACGTTTAGTGTTAATAAATTAAACATTCCTGTTTAAATAATGATTATTTTACATATGATAATAATACTTGACAATTTGTAGGCTTTTTCAACGATTGTAGATCCAATTGAAGATATAGACGAGGAACGGGATATTGATCCCAGAATACAGTATCCTTTATTAAATATGAATGCAAAAGTCGGATGATAAAAGTAATTTTAACTGTAATTTCATTTCAATTCGAATGTTCTTTTTCTTCAATAATGGTCGTTGTATTTTATTTTATTATTATTATTATTATTATTATTATTATTATTATTAACCTGATAACTTTCCTTAAATAATATAATTACAGAGCACGTTTTACTCGTGCAGTAACCGATTTGCAATATTTAGGTTTCATCAAGACGTCTAGGATAAAAACGGATCATGTTAAGCGATTCACTTAAGCGAGGATTTCAATAAAATATCATTTGTTCTCGTGCGCTTTATTTTAATTATATATATATAATATTTTAATAATTATATCTCTTGAGAATAGAGAAAAGAGTAATATTACTTTTGTATATGAATTTTTTTTCTAATTAAATAAAAAAAAATTATTACTTTTTGTAACAGTGGTTTGATCTCTCGTCTTTGACAATGAGTAAAAATAGAATATAAAGTTATTAGAGAACAAAAAATGTAATAAAATATATATATACACATATGTAAGTACATATTACATATATATATATATATATATATATATCATCGATGAATGTTCTCTATTCCAGAATTCGAAAGAAAAAGCATGTTCAGTAGTTCGAATAATTTAATGTTCGAGGTGCATACCAATGACGCGTGTTATAAATCTGCATACAGCTCAGGACAAACGTGGAATACTAAAAGCTAGACGTTATCGTTTGAAATGTTCTCTCTCTCTCTCTCTCTCTCTCTCTTTATCTCTCTATCTCTCTTCCTATCTACTTTTCTTTTTATTTGATTTGATTTGATTTTTTTTTCTTCTTTTTTTTTTTTCTTTCCAAAAAATCCGATTCGGAATATCGATCTCTTTGTTCTCACCCTCTTTCCTCTTCTATCGTCTTTGTAGTGGTCGAGCACGTTTTCTCGATTCGCGTGGTATAAAATACCGATAAAGAGAGAAGAAAGAGGTCAAAGATAAAGAAAGAAAGAAAGAAGAGAAAAGAATAAAGAGAGAGAGAGAAAAAAAAGAGAGAGAAGGGCTTACCCAACCGTTCCTGCATTTTAACATCGACGAGAAAGAACGAATATCGAGAAGAATTAATTGAATTCTCATGACGAACTTCCTTCCGCACGACGTGATAAGGTTAAATCGTCCCCCCTGCCCCACCCCCTTATGATATCTGACTATTGTTACCTGATTTTTCGCTTTAAGCACAATCCTTTAATATGTTCATATATATATATATATATATGTACATAAGTTCATAAATCCTATGGTGGAGACGGACAAAGGAATATTATTTAGAATAATGAATTTTACTGTGAGAGAAGAAGAAGAAGCACTTGTAATACTTTAAGTGCAATATATCATATCAGATTCAGGCACCCACATAAACTTGATTACAATTACATATTCCTAAAGTCGAGATATAATTCTATTCCTTTGGAGATGAATTTTATGAACGTGCATAAAACAATATTAAAACAACAAAAGTAGACATAATCGAGAGTAACATTTAGTATTTTTTAACGTGTCAATTAATTAATTGTATATTTATATATATATATTTGCAATAGTTTACGTGATTACTTTTATGAACGATATTAAAAATACATTTTTTATTCTTTCCTCTAGATCGATAATTCTTTTCAAAAAAAAAAGAAAATAGAAATTGAAAATGAACGTTACTTAAATTGTTGGTACACACGTGTATAAATAAATTGTTTTATTCTCGAAGGTCAGTTCGATTGACAGAAACATGAATAGGACAAGATGATTGCATCAAGGTCTGATGTTATTCGAGATTGTTGATTGCAGTAATTAATATGAGAGAAAGAGACGAAACCTGTTATGGGAAATTTAAGCGTGATCGATGAACGTTGTTATGCTTACTGTTTACTAATTAGTATGGGAACCGATTATAATTAGTAATTGCACGTAGGTATTATTCGTTCACCGCATATATGCGGTCTACAGTTGGACTCTAGTAACAGCTGAAGTCTTTGGGTTTACAAATTGAAGAGAAAGAGAAAGACAAAAGGATAGAATATTAAAGTAGATGTACAGGTTGATTCAAGATGAAAAATTATACATTTAGAATATAATTGTTCAAGTTATATTTCGAATATAAAAAAAGTTTATATTATGTTTAATTTCGAGAAGTGGCAGCAGCAGCAGCAGCAATAGTGGATTTTCAAATTTTTACTTCAAATTTATGTTCTTTCTTCTTGAACTACTTTGTTTATTTAAAAAGATAAAGTTACGTATAATAATTAAGTTGTTAAAAATATGTTTTTCTTAATAAAAGGTGGACTTTAATAATTATCATTCTCTTCTTAATTAGAACACGTGTTTTGCGATATGTTCGTTCGTGTTTTTTTGATTAGAATTTCGGTGGTAACTACTATAATGAAAAGAGTCTAGAGAGAGAGAGAGAGAGAGAGAAATAAATGGCAAGGAAAGTTGAAAGTTTGATACGTTTAGACGAGTTTTATGGCTTAGTTTTAGGTAGAGAAAGCTTTAGAAACTTTCTACAACGTGATTCCTTTTTGTCACTCCGATAAAAGTCCTGACGGTAACTAAACGATGTTCATTTGAGTCCACTAATGGTGTACCTCTTCTTTTGTCAGTGAATTAGAATAGAATAAAATAAAATAAAATAAAATAAAACAAACAAACAAACAAAGAAAATGTTTTATTAACAGTAAAGAAGAACAATAGAAACGAAATAGAACAAAGAAAAAATTATTAAGTTTAATTAAAAAATGAATGAAACAAACATTTTCGCGACTACTTTTTTTTTTGGTCGTTAAATTAATTCTACGTTTATATAGTTAGGTTTAGTGTTAAAAAAAAAAAAAAAAAGAACAAAAGAAATAAATGAAGGTATGATTGGAGGGTTTAGTTTCTTGAAAGATCAGCGAATAAATCGAGAGGTATATATATATATATATATCTATATCGATAAGAAAGTTAAAGCGGATGCCAAAGTGTATTCGTTCGCAACGATTGAGCACGAAGGTTTCAAAAGGTTAAGCAAGGTCCGACCTGGAAAACTGATTCTCGACGTTTTCTTTCAAGGTACCCGAGAAACTAGGTCTTCGTACGTAGACTTTTTTCTTTTTTGATATAAGATGCCTGATAAAAGAAAGATCGATGACATGTGAACTGGAATGACCAGTAGTGGCTAAATTCTTCTGAACAAATGAACCTTGAAAAACTTTCAGGTATTACTGACGATTTAATCGAATCAAAGGTATATAGTCTCTCTCGATTGAAATATTTCAATATAAATATCAAAATATTTTCAGTATTATCATCGTTATATTATTTGCGAATGATATTTGTCGTGTTATTTCATAATTTCTAATTCTTATTTTATGCAGATGATTTAAAAATCTGTAATTGTATTACGTAATTGATCGGTAAAATGTTAATCATTTGTAATCATTTTGATATTATGTTCCTTCCTAAATATGTTTACCTAACACTGTATTAATAAAATAAATAAGGATTTATATATCGTAAACTAAATAAAATAAGATAAAATAATATAGAATTTCACTTAGATGTGTGAAAAGTAGATAGGATATACTTGATAAGTTATTTTCTAAATAAACGTAGATATAAGGCGTTATCGTTAATTGATCTCATGCCGTGCAAACGTTTTAGCCAAGTAGTCTCGAGAGTGTAATCTGGGAATAAATCGATGTGACGAATGAAACTAGCAATTCTTAACGAGTTCTCTCACGTCAAGTTTACTACTCTCTGTTACTATCTCGTCCATGGGGGATAACCTGCGTTGGCATAGGAAACCATTCTCTGGAGAGTGATACCTGCGATCAATACCGATCCAATAGTCAAAGTGGATCTATCAATTCGTTCTAATGTACAGTTATTTGAAGTTGTAAGAAATTACGGGGATACAAAATCCAATGTTTCCAACAATTCTATCGCAAGATAAGATATATAAGACGCAAATATCTATCCTGTTAACGTTTATCGTTATTACTCTATTACGATTAATTGCAATTCGCTACTTGACGTAGAGAAATTCAGATCGATTCACTGATAACATTGCAAGGTATTAGTAGTATCAATACTAATGCGATATCAAAGGGAAACACGCACAAACATTTACGTCTAACCCTTGAAGTTATATCAGGAATTGTGCACACACACACACATATATATATATATACACAAACCTTACTAATTGTAAGACACAACCGTACGTAATTGATTAATTTAGACATAGTTATTTACATAGTTAATGATCGATGATCGCATTTGAATAAACCTGGAAGCTTAAAGTGACATTCCGGAATGATCATTTACCTTATTAGTCATATCCAAGTTTCATACTGTCGCATAAATACAATGTGATGAGAATTAACGATTTAATATTACATTATACGTTACAATCAATAGAAAATTAATAAACATATAGAGAAATGATATATTTGATATATTATTAAATATGATTACATAGAAAAAAGAAGTCTTGTTTGAAAGCGATTAGGCTTAGATAGATACGATCGATAGTTTAGAATAGAATCGAGAAGGTTTCTATACTTTAGTTAAAGTACTTGTTTCCCAAAGTTTTGCTTGGTCCATCCTATTCAGGTTCGTACGTTACATAAGCGAGCTTAGCTTTCCTTCATCATGTTCTTCCAGGCACATGGTAGGCGGTCCAGGGTCAAAGGTAACTGTAATCTCGTAGGGTAGAATCCCTTATCGGGGATATAGGCGTTAACCCTTCCCAAGCTAACTCTCTCTCTCCCTTTGAACACGAAATTGTTCTGGAATTGACCCGTGATACGATGAAGAAGTTATAACATGAATAGTATTAAGTATCATAAAATCGATCGTTCGTAAAATTATCTTGGTTAATTTTGCTTATCAAACCACAAAAAAAAAAGCAAAATAAATATCATTAACATTATTATATTACACGTTTTAATAATAATAATAATAATAGATTTATTCGTTTGATTTGCAATTTGTATTTGTATAAATTAATAAGATTGAAGAAAATTATAGTTTGGGAGTGTAGAAATGAGATGGGATATTTGATGATTGTCAAGAAAGGTGTGTTTGTTTGTGTGTATGTAATTAATTACATTAGAGATTAATTCATTATTTCAAGTAGAGAGATGTTAACGTGAACACTTTGGAAAATCACAAATAGTTATTCACTATTTGTTTTTTTTTATCGAGATTGTTGTTGGTGACGTAACTATAAGTAAACGGTAGAGAAATGGTAAACCATTTCAAGTAGGTAAACATTGTCA